CTAATCCATGTTCCTGTGGCCTTCTTCTCCTCTGCCCTGGAATGTGTGTGAGCCATCAAAGTCATCAGGTAGAAGGTAGGACCAGTGGAGGTTGCTGGTCTTGTATCATGTGTGATGGCGATGACAATAGCAGGAGTGATGAGCAGCTTCTGGGGCAGATAATCACTACTGTAACGGATGGGGAGGACGCTCTGAGATTGTGCGGTAAGATCCTCTCTTAGATCCCCCTACACTAATCGAGTATTATGGTGTATGGTTTACCTTGGGACCAGCAATATTTCCTAAATATGTGGAGGTGGTGAAGGGGGTGAGCACCTTTAATTATTTTGGGCCAGCCTGGAGCTGAGATATAAACAAAATCAAAGGTTGAGCAGTTGTCCATAGTAACCAGAGGTCTTGCTTTTAGAGACCAACTAGATGACTGACACGTATAAGGATGCATGGTTGCGCTAGGTTCCTCTGCTTCAATAGCTGTATTGTGTGTAGACAGTAATGATATTTAAAGGAGAACTATGGGGTCCGTGTTTTTCCCCATAGTTCTCCTTAGGGTAACGGGAGGACACAAACTAGCGTCCTCCCGTCACCCTAAGCTCAGTATACCGCGAGCTACAGCTCTCGGTATACTGAGGCGCCGCAGCCGGAGCGGATCCCGACATCGATGTCGAGATCTGCCCAGCTGCGTGAGTGACAGCTGGCTCTGCCTATCTAGAGGCAGAGCCAGCTGTACCCGCCCCCTCCCCCGTCCGTTCCGCCAGTCAGCGCTGTTGACTGTAAAGGTAACATAAAATAAGGGAATTTCTAAAATGTTGCGTAAGCACCGGACCAAATACTAACAGGGAGATCGTTCAATGGGGACACTTATTGCAGTGACAACTGTCTACGAGGGGATTTCCCTCACTTTGGAGAGATTTCCAATTCCTCCTCCTTCCTATTGTGAGTAGAGGACAGGAAGTGTTTAATCTCTGCCTACTGTATATTCATTATGTGTATGTAAACTGAAACAATTGACTTCTATTATTTGCTCCATTTTGGTCTCTTAAATATATGATTGGAAACATTTTGTTATAACTTTTTTGTAAGCGCAGAAAACACTAGTTGGTCCCGCCGGAAATTCAGAGTTGTCCTGTGTCCGCTCCACAGATCCTGTGTTATCCAAGAGCCTATTTAGCCTTCCCGCTCCTTATGCTAGGACTACTAGCCAATCAGTGTCTATGCTTTGGAGATTAGCTTAGTCTCCAAAGTGATGGAGTGGTTGAGCAGTTTAGCATAAAAAACTGGGTAGGTCTGACACCACGAAGTTCCAAAAAATGCTGAGTTTTGTCAGCCCACAAAATGAAATTGAGTTGAGAGAATTTCTGGCAAGTCATCAGGTATCATTTTTGTTGAGGCATCATCCAGGGTCAGCAACTACTTCCTGGACTCGGGTGTTGGCTTTGAGATGACACCGGTATATAGATTTGTGTGCCTATTCACATCTAAGTAGTGTTCACAGATGTGTAGCACAGATCAGCCCCTGCAGCAGACTCTCACCTTGTTACTTGCGACAAAGTTACAATATGCAGTATGATCACTAGGGGAGAGGAGACTGGGGAAATGCTTCCTACTGCCTGCAGTGGACCTATGACATCATCTCAGCCTAGGAAAAGTCAATTTAATGGAGCTCAAAGACTGCTTGTTAATTGTAAAATATATAGCATTGTGAAAGACCCTCTCCGCTGAATTGGAATGCAGACTATTATTGAAGATTCCATAAGATTATCTGGCTCAGTGTACTCATTAAAAGGACAACTATGGGGTTAGGGCTTTTCCCCATAGTTCACCTTAGGGTAACGGGAGGACACAAACTAGCGACCTCCCGTCACCCTAGGCTCCTCCAGCACTGGAGGATCGGAGCGGGGAGGGGGGAATCCATCCCCTCTCTGCCGTGACAGGATCGAGAGGTGAGCGAACGCCGGTATGTGTTCGCTCACCTCCCGATCTACTGAACCGACCTGTGACAGTCTCATTGTCACAGGTCGGCTAGAACTATGAGGTGAGTGAAAAGCACTCCCCTCATAGTTGTCCTTTAAGACCCCATAATATGCCCTTATAAGAAGCACAGATTTCTTTTTATTGCTATCCTCTTTCACACACCATGACATCTTATTGTGCGGAATAGGGATCATAAATGTTACACAACACTCTAGTCAGCCGCAGGTAAAACGACTGGATTAAGCTGCTCGGATAGAGTTTTGTGTAATAACAAGAAATAATTACATGGGAACTGGTGTCTGAGATTACGATTTCATGTCTGTGCAAATGTCAGCATGCATAATAACGATAGACTGCAGAGCCGGACTGGCTAGACTGAGCATAATGGTGACTACATGCATCTAGACTGTCAAAAACATGAGCGTATTTCCTTCCTTTGGATGCACACAATGTGCTGTGTTTAAAGGAGTCCTGAACTCAAAAACGGCAGATTTATGTTATAGGAACAATTATAAATGTATTTTGGCCGTACCCTGAGAATTCTACCTTTGGTCTGGAGTACCTCCTGAAACATAGCAGAGCACTACCTGGTATGCAAGCGTGCCTAGCCACCCCTGTGCATACAGCCTCATGGCCATATATCTGCAGTGTGAGATCTAAGGCACTGCTGACTCTGAGGCGATCTGCAGAGGTCACAACTGTGCTGCTATTTTCCTTGCTGGAGGGTCTCACATAATGAAACAAAACCTCTACCAGGCTGGCCACCCACACAGACACAATGCATAGTAAATCCGTAATGGTGAAAGATCAGCTGTAGGAAGACCAAAGGGAACTACTGCGGCACAGTCCTTTACCCTTTGCCTGACTTTCTTTGGAAACAGCTTTCATAGTTCAGCTCATGTTTAAATAAGTACTATACTTTCACACTGTTCAGGGGCTTATATAGAGTAGGTCTCTTGAACAGCTTACGGATTTAAGCAGGAAAAGGAGACGCATGAGTCAGGTTTAGGTATAGTTGTTTTCCTTTTTTGCTACTGGAGATCAGCTATGTAGCTGTAAGGGCACAATAGCGGCCACGCATGCGCAAAAGCCCAATCTTGGGAAGCGCGCAATAGTGCACATGCACGGGAAGACGCTGGACAGATGGTGCACAGAAGTGCGGTAGTTGCCTCAATTTACTATATAAGGATGAGCGTGCCTGCTTCACATTGCTAATGTTCTTGTCAGCTTGTGTTGCCTGTCCCTCTGTTGATTTGCCTATGACCTGTTTGACTTGGATTGCCCTGGACTACCCTTCTGATTGCTGCCTGCCTCTGACCTCGGCCTGTTGTCTGGATTTGCTCGTCTGCTGATTTTGTGCTTCGCTGCCCCGGCTCGATCTGACTTTTGGCTTCCTCGACTACGACTTCTGGCTCCTGAGTCTGTTCCTACTTTGCCCGCCCGGTTCGATCCTTGGCCAGCTGAACTCTGTACAAGAAGTCTTCTGCACGGTGCCTGCTTCCAATCCATGGCCCTCGTGCTCCTCCTTGCCCTGCGTCCTCCTGTTCCAAACTCTAGGGGGTCACAGGACATGACGCATAAGGCACCTCCTCGTCTTACAGTCTCATCCTCAGGTACGTGATAGTAGCCCATGAAATGACCATCACATACCTAAACGGTTAGTCCACTGAAAAGTAATATTATACTTGTTGGTGGATCCAGGTGTTTGGGTCAGACCCTGGCTTCTTTTATAGCTTGGATACTCCAGGAACGGGACGGCCCAGTCATACATTCTGACTTGCTTTGCAGCTGGATGTTTTGTGTTACCACTCACCTTTGTGTATTCCAGCTCCTCCTTTTGCAGAACTCATATATTAAATAAAAATGTAACAGAAATAAGACCCCCCTCAAAATAGTCACAGCAGCTGTGCAAACCCCAAACCTATCCCTGGAGATCTCGCTGAAATAACTAATTGGCTGGTAAAATATCCAATATGCGTGCATGACAAATAATAGTGGCTCAATCACTTTACCCATTCAGGACAAAGGGACAGGGTCTGTGCAAAGTCCATGGATGCCTCTTCTATAATCTCCCCCCCCGCCTCCCAAATTATTTTTAAGTAAAAAAAAAAAAAAATGCCCCTTCATCAGTTGTCAGGGTAAGTTTTCAAATAAAAACCAATACTCCAACATCCATGGTCAGTAGGATTAATAAATGTTCCTGCCCTGGATTTCTTATATTCCTAGGCTCCATACAAATGGCAGAAGTTTAATGAAACAATAGTGAAGCAACATGGGCTGGACTATAAAGCAGACATCCCAACCTGCAAAACCTTATTTCAGGGAGGTTCCCGTCTCATTTCAGGGAGGTGCCCTTTATTTTATTTTTTATTTTTTTACAGTGCTCGTCGTCAGAATATAAAAGAAATAATAATGATAATAATTTGAGATTGAGATATATATATACATATATATATATATCTCAATCAGATTTGTGAATTGATGTTCAAGTATCTGTCAGTGTAAAAGGTCACAATTAGACAGCCCGAGACCTTTTTAAAAAAATGCTGA